AAGCATGCCCACGATGGATGAGTATGTGGTCCCTAATTATGACTCTTTCCCCTTTAGTGGCGTTGTAGCACTCACCCGTCCTCTTTAAAATGAAATTTTTGTTGCAAGGGATGAAAGAACTTCTCGCGAGTTTTGAAGTGTGATGAAAACTTGTTTTATTGGAAAACTTTGGAATGGATTTTTTACAACGGCCTCTCACTCTGCTACAATAACCCTGCTCGTCCTTTGCGCCGAGCGCACGCGTGGCTGCCTGTAGGAGGGCGGGCGTTACTTTTCTTTAATTTTTCGTCAAAATCTCGGTTCGCGCCCTCACTTTTTACTTTCTCGCCATTACGAATGCAGTTCGTAGGAAGAGAAAGTTGTGTAATCGTGAGCTCTATAACGGCGACTTTCTAGCAGAAAATCTCTTATTGCCGCGCCCTGGTAAAATGGGATAATACTTTCGAACGCATACATGCCAAAATACTTTTTTGTGTTGAGGAAATTGATCAATACCAGGCGAATGCCCGAGCAGTACCCTAACGAACGCGCGATTTTTCGTGCCCCTTCCTTGTCCTACCCTCACTCTTTACACACACATTTACACGGACTACCCTAGCACGCGTGCCGGGAGCTTGAGCTGGTCCGGCTGGGGAGGTGCCGCGCTCGTGCGAGATATCTGGTTGACAAGGGTCTCGCTCGGTCAGCGCCGGTTCTCGCCAGCAACCTCCCGTGATAAAACATGCACTACACTTACTGGGACGACGGGGAAAGTCCACTGGCGCCTCTCGATAAAATTACGCCCTACGCTCACCGGCCTCGCGGGCCATTAGCAGTTGACGCGCCCGGAATCACAAATCGGTCAATCGCTAGGAAATTCGTTAGAAAGTGTTAGTTTTGTCAATATTACTGTTGTTACAGGGAAGTTTGTTGGGAAGTGTGTTATAAAAACAAAACAAAGGAATTCAAATCAATTGAGGCGATCAGAATAATAAGGTGAGATCATAACCGAAATTCGCTTTGAGAAAATGGCATTTTTCTGTTTTCGTTCATGTTCGCTTCCACTTTGAGCCACGTTTTGAAGGTGAAATTTGAGGGTTTTGCTTATTCAAATTATATTTCAGCACATGTTAAGTGTATGGTAGGAGTTGCACTTCTAACTGAAAAATTGGAGGTCGGTGGGGATCTCCCGTTATCAGTCAGTTTTTTGTTTACGGAAATGGCGGCGACACACATGGGGCATTGGGCGAATCCTGGGCAACCGCTCGCCCAATCCCGAGAAGCGTGGACGGGTTGCTCGCTATTAGCCCTACCCACGGCGTGTCGGTCTTTAGGTGATATCCAATGGAGCGAACATTCGCCGAACACATCAGCTGCTCGGGATCGGGCGAGCTGCGGCTGCCGGATGCGTGGAGCCGCCTGAGGAGTCGATGAGGCGCAGCTGCAACCAGAATTCCCCCTTGCAGCGGCGGAAAGGTGTGCTACGCTTCCTTCGCGAGGCGCGTCCTTCCAAGGAACAGTTGCGGTGCAGCGCCCCCCCCCGCCCCGCCCCCGGGGAGGGGAGGGGAAGGGAGGTCGTTGCTCGCGCCCCGTGTGCGGGCTCTGAACCGGCGAGGCGCTGCGTGGGGCGCGGCAGGGCGAGGGACGCACAACGCACAACAATTCTACAATTGAATCGAGAAAGGGAGAAAGTCATTTATTTGCAACTTTTCTGGCAACTTTAAATGATATTCACATGTTTTATTTTATCCTGTCCAATTTTTCTGTGTGAATTGACTATTATAGCCTAAACTCTGTTATGACGTGATTCCTTTTTTGACAGTACAATTTGCCTTATCTTAAAGAACAACTTTCCAAAATAAAAAAATGCAATTTTGACTTGTTCCCTTTCTCCTTATACTGATTCAATTGTATACTGCCTTATTGTTTTATTTCTTTTAAGAAATAGGCCCCTTTAAAATTGTTAGCAGAATTTTTTTTCTAATTATTTTATTTGATAAGTAAAAATTAATCTGCAGTCATAAAACATAGACGTAGACTGCTGCAGAAATGTTGGAAAGGGACCTGTTTCTTAAGAGTGACTGCAGAGATATTAGGGGTTGGGATAATTACGAATTACGAAGTTCACCTCTCGACATTTTGGGACGTTCTGAGTACTTGTGGTGCGTTCTCTGATACTACACTACAGGCCGTATTCACAGTCGTCGCTCACAGGATAAAGAAATACTTAAACTTTAAGAAGTTACGTTTGATAAGAAAATGCTTGTGTACATTTAGTATTCATAGACGATTCTTAACATTAGCCCCATGTTAGCAGCGTCTCGTGTGGCAACAGCGCATTGGCTATTCCACAGTCATTTGAATCCCGCCTGTTGTCCCATCAAGCTGGCCATGAACTAGTGATACGTTGCGTCCGTGCGCGTTCATGGGTACCCTAACCTACACAATTACTTAAATAGTGGCAGTATCTTCAACAATTTCTTAAATAGTGGGACGTCAACGTCTTAATTATATGTGGTTTTTGCATCCAACGTTGCCCAAAACGTGTATTTTGGTCTTGGTAAAACAATTTCTTTTCGTACATATTCTTGTGGAGTTGTGCATTTCTAGAGGGTTTATATATCACGTAAATATAGGTAGTTGCTACGAATAACGATGCTACTATAAGCTTTCTTATAATATGCAAAGTCCATTTGCGTTTCGTTCATATTACGATAATTTTCAACCCTCCTGAGACGATTCACTTATACGTAGCTGTACGTGGAGGGTGGACCTTCATTATACCTACAGGGAGTTTATGTACGCGGATAAGCAGCGACGATGAATTGAAAAACGCTGTAAGGATTTCGTTATTATGTGCCCAGTTTGGATCACCGTAGACAAATCTAATACAAAAAAACTCCAAAGTAATCCAAAATGAGTTCCTCCGCACCATAGTAAATCTCCAACGCTCAACTCCATAAATAATTCCAGCTAGAACCGATAGCCAACCACATTATTATCCTATCCACCCACTTCTTTTAGAACATCCCAAATATGCCCAATGTGCCCGCTAAGACTACCAAAATTGAATACACAGAACCCGCATCAAGATCAAATTTACTTCCCATGTACTCCTAAATAAATTCTCACTTCTCGAACCAAGGTAGAGATATTATATAAAGATACCTCTAGCACCCTAGTAGTAATATAAGTTGTATTTTAAGATTAATAGAAAGATTGTTGCAAGTTAATTATATATATATATATATATATATATATATATATATATATAAGCAAACTGTAAGAAATATAGTGTAATTAAACGATGATCTATTGTATTACACTACCAACAGAAAAGAATGAAACTAATAAACAGAAACGGCCTCCCACTCATTTGGAGTTAGTGATCGCGGCTGATCGGCTCCCGCTGGGGGGGGGGCGTGCCCGCGAAGGAGGAAGTGCACGACTAGGGACGGCGGCGCCGCATTCTCTCGTCTCGGCGAGACAGGAACCCCGCACGCACTGGGTACTTTCCCAGGAATGATGTCCAAAGGTAGCCAAAGGTAGGCCAGATACCCAAATATCATCAGTCAGTGGTGCGGTTTTTTTTTTTTTTTTTTTTTTTTTTTTTTTTTTTTAATTTAACACATTTCAAATGGACAGAGAATTGGTGCATAGAGCTGCTGTGCGAGTGAAAGCGGAGGCAAGAGATGAAGGGCGGCCGGCGGGCAGACGCGTCTGTGCCTGCCCGCGCCCAGCCAGGGGTCGATACCGACCCGGCACTCTCCGCTCCTCTTGGCCTCTGCTTCGCGCAAGAAATGACACTTTGTTTTAAAGCTGACGAGCTATCCTATTACTGCGCACACAATGATATTAACAACAACAACAACAATAACTAGTGGATTGCAGATGCAGAAATGCTGCTGAACAAAACCACACAAAATGGAAGATTTATTGGCACTTATTCCTCAATGAAATCTGTTCCTCAAAGACAATGTCGCCAATCAACACCAGGCGAATGCCGGAGCAGTACCCTAACAAACGCGCCAAGGCCCGCGCGCGATCTTTCCTTCCTCTACCCTCCCCCTTATACGTACTTTTAAATGCCCTAGGCTACCTCCCATGTCGGGGGGCCAGTGAGGAGTTTAGACTGGTGGGGGAGATACCTTCAGGAGAAAGACGGCAAGGTAGGTCGGAGCAGGAGAGCAACTGCTGCCCCCCCCTCGTGCACAACACGTGCGGGACAAAAGCCCATCGCAGTCGACGTGCGTGGAAGCACCAGTGAATGTGAAAATGCTGAGTTGAGGTGTTTGGTGGCGTGTGCAGGTCGCTTTTGCGTGCAATGATTTCTGTCTCCGTGTGCCCCAGGGTCTTCTATTGCTTACTCTCTTTTTCTAATTCTGAATATTTTTTGTACGTAACGTCTAAATATGTATAAATTAACACCTTTTCATAATTTTAGGTGCTGTGTATCAGAGTGTGAAATGAAATTTCTACATCAGTTGGTTCAAATGCTCAATTTCCTTCTTTTATAAACTTAAGTACACCGAAGCACGTGATGATGACAATACAAATAATACTTGAAACATCATTCTTGTGTAGTGCTTCATTAATGTGTGTATTACTTTTTTATGTGACATATTTTAATAATTTTTTTACTACCTTTAATAAATTTGGGATATTTATTATCAGGGTTCGGATTCTGATGACCTAAAAATTCTTTAAAAACCTCTAAGATGACTTAAAAAGAAAGGGAAATTGACCTATTTTTAAAAAAGAAAGTAAAAAATTTGAATCAAAGTGTTTATTTGATGAATTTTGCCATTTTAAATGATATTTATTTGTATAAAATTATATTGCTAATATTACTGCTAAAATGATAAAAAATAACGCAAAATCTCTCCAAAAATGACTTAAAAATTGAATAATCGTAAAAAAAAAAAAAATTGAAAAGCGAGGCAATAACTGTAGTCTGTGGCCTGTGCGTAGTGCCAATGCTTGCTTCGCGAGCTGTGTGTGAAGTGCGCGCGTGTGCGCAGGTCGCTGGGCGTGGCGTGCAAGTGCGTGCTGCGCACGTGCTTCGTCATCCTCAACAACATGTACTGCATCCCCACGTACGTGGTGTGGATGGTGCTCATCTTCCCGCTGCGCCGCTACCGCCCGCAGCTCTACTGGGCCATCGAGGGCCACTTCTTCCACTGGCTGCTCGCCATGGTCAGCATGTGGAGCTGGTCGGCCGGATACGACAGTGAGTACGCCTGCCTCGCGGAAGAGCAGAATTTCACGAACGAAAGCACCCGCAAAATGATCCATTATAGCCTAAAAGCTAAGGAGTACTCGAGACTTCTTCCTTTCTAATCTCTGCCTTTATTTATCGCTGTAACGGCCGAACTGACAATGGCGTCACATGAATCATACATTACATACAATGGCTGACGTTGCAATTTCTGAGCGGAGAAATCGAATAGCCTCCTCACGAATTCTATGAACAACATTTTTTGCATGTTGTAAATATTATTTGAAGCAAGAACCATTAAAATTTTATTAAAGTTGATAAAATCAGCGAAAATTGCATTAAAACTGACGGAAAAACATAAAATGACTTATTAGTCTACATCCACGAAAAATGCAAAGAACAAAAATGCCGTATGAAAATGGATCATTTTCTTTTCTCATAACATAATATTAATTTCTATTCTAAAAGACATTGTTCTAAAATAAAAAGAATATTCCATTAAAATCCGCCCCTAGTTATAATCAATTTCTAGAGTTATTTTTAAATTTGTATTTTATCAAAGAAAATTAAGAGAGGTCACAAATTAGTTTCAGGCCTGCTTTTCTTTCAGTCGTATGAAATACTCTATAAATTTTAACACTGGAAAATTAAAATAATGCTGCGTAAAACTGGGAAAAGTCGGCGGAAATTGTTTCTGGATATGCGTAGCCACCCTGAAAATAGTTATTGATTCCTGTGGTAAAAGGAAAACAGAGCAGAATAAAATCACTTTGACCTTGTTTTAGACAGCCTCACTAACGTTTATTTTAATTCAAGTTAACAAATCACTTAAGTATGGACTACGTTAAATTGCGGACCACTAGTAAAGGACCGTAGCTGATGCGTTTGCCCGAAATTATTTCGTTTTCTTTCTTGCATTCACACTTTTGTCGGAACATTTGAGTGTCGCCGCCCTTTTAGCCTTAGTGTCAAAAACAAACTTTAACATGCTGTGTATGCCCTGAAAGTAACCGCTGTTGCTAGTATATGTCAAGAAATAGACTTTTCTTCTACATCAGAGACTGGGTAGCCAAGGTCGATAGAGCCTGTTTTACATGCTCCACTCCCATAATATTTCATCGGCACACCAAAGGGCCGGGCCATATTGAATGAAATCTGTTCAGAATAATTAAGCATACGTCATATTTCTGTACAAACGACGTTCAGTTTAACTACCGCGATGCAGGTATCACTTCCGGGAACCTTTTCTCGGTTGTTCTTGTGCGATTTATTCACTTTGTGAACTTTAATAGAGCATTCCAATGTGTTGGATTACGTTGTCAGGAGATTTGATTGGTAAGAAGGCAGACGGTTCTTGAGGGGTACCTTCTTCATTTGTATGTTAGATGCGATGTGTAATAATTTTTTGCTTCAGCGGTCTTCGCGAGTTTCCGGAGGAAACATTTTCGTCACGATGACTTGCAGAAAACGAAACGACCGAGTAAAACGCTGTGCCTCGTGCATTCACTTTCGATGCGGAAACCAACGTGCCTTTACAATTCATTTTCTGAACAGGAAAATTACGCAAAAGAGTTCTGTGGAATATGGACTTGGGCGTACGTGCTTCAAGAGTCTTGTTTCGACGAGTCTCGGGTTTTCATTATTTTCGTCAAATGTGTGTGTGTGTGTCTATATATATATATATATATATATATATATATATATATATATATATATATATATATATATATATGCAATCTTGTATTGCTTATCATTTTAAGTGATTTATTGACGTGCAATCATACTTTTTTAGATCTAGTAACGTATTTATTTCTGAGTACTACGCAATTTTTGTAGTTTGAACCAGTAACGTGAACTAGTGTCAGAGAATAGTTTCTGTAAAAGGAGCTTGGGAAAACCTACTTTAAGCCAATAGCCACTGAATGAATAACAATGCTATTGCAGATCTAGTAGATCCATGTCTATTCAGTTGAGATAACCCTCGAGTAGATTTGAGAGCCAATGGAAAAATGAAAGCGACGAACCGACAGCATACACTCGTGCAGAGTAGTGATGCGACATTGATAAGAAAATATCCATGTTAGCAAACATCCATGTTAAAAATACATAACACAATTTTTAAACCATCGATGTTTTTCAACGTCAATGTTTTTAGACTGGATTAGTAACCTTTAACATTAAGTTAACATTAATTAAAATTTCATTTGAGTGTTAATGTTCATCAATTCGCCGAATAAGAATACGAGAATAGAAGGAGCAGACCCACGCCTACAGCGTATTGTTGACTACATTTCAATGTGCGAATGAATATGAAGAAAGAGGAAATATCACGGTATGCAGGTCATCTCGGGCGAGATAGTTTGTTCGATGAAGGTAGTGCAAACGGCGTTCATTTTTGGGAATTTTTCATTCAGAAACAAAAATCGGAAAAGAAAAACACAATGTTGTTAATACATCTGTTTACAAAAACATGGATGTTGCATCCCCAGTGCAGAGACGGGCCCTGTTGCGAAGTAGTCCTCAGATGCCATTTTCACTCCCTGTTGGGCTGGCACATTCGTGTCCTGTGGTGAGTGGCGTAACAGCAACTGTTCGGTTGTCGCGTGTTTCACTTCCTGCTCGCGTGTTGGGGCGTCAAAGGGAAATGGACAAACGTTTGTGTCGCCCTCGTGCACAGCACGTGACATTGTGCTGTCGCGCGGGTACAACTAGCTGCTATGTTGTTGGGAGATATGGTGTGAGTGGTTCGATAATTTTACCGTTTTTGTTCTTGAGTTGATGGAGTGTTTTAAGATGTCGGTTTTCAAAACGTATTTTTCGTAATATTACGAAACGGTGAGCTGTGTTGATTTCCCGGTGATACGTAATGGAAAGAATTGTCTGCTTTAATGAAAGCTGTGACATGTTAATCATTCATCTGTTCCGTTCTCTTTCCTCTCTGTTCTATCGTTCTTCCTCTCTATGTTTCTCTTCCATGTTTACTCTTTTCTACGTCTCTCTGCCAGGTTTCCTCTTCTGTACGCCTCTCTCCCATCTTTCCTTCTCTACGTCTGCTCCCCTCCCTCTCCCCCACTCTTTCCCTCCTCTTTTTCTCCCCCGGAACTCCGTGGATTCACACCGTGTCCGCCCGCCTTCCCCGGCCGCGTCACCCCTTCCACGTGTCCTTCCTGCTGGCCTCATCTCGGTCTTCCTCTGCAGAAGTCGTCTCCTGCTGAAGTGTTCAATGTCTGATCCTGCCACGCGCCGTGTGTACGCGGAGTGGGCGGAGGCGCCCCCGCCCCGCCCCGCCCCGCCCCGCCCGTGCCTTCCTTCCGGGCATTGTGTGGCCCCGGGCGGCGCGTGCTTTTGGCCGCGACGTCGAGTCCTCCTCCGACTCTTCGCTCTTCTCCGTCTTGCCTCAAACCTAATCGCTGCTAAAGGCGGATCATTCGCTGGGCTTCGTTTTGAACGCAGGGCCCGTTGACGTTGAATCAACCCGTACTGTGTCATTCAGGCGGGTGCTTAAACATCACCACTGTAGTCACTACGCAGTTAGATGAAGCCCCCGTTTGGATGACACCGTAGCAGCTGATTGAAGGGCAACGCCCTCTGGGTTTAGATGGACGTGCCACAAAAGCCTCTCCTGCTGGACAGGGGCAGACTGAGTAAGTGAGAAAAGCAAAGGCGCAGGCGTCGTGCATGCAACGCACGTTAGGCGCGAGAGGCACCTAAGGCGTACAAGGCGGCAGACAATTGGGGACACAAATTACTACATGGAACACGAATTAATTTATGTCAGTGGTACGTATCAGTTGTATGGCATTACTTTGAACTAAGAGTAATAAAACAATTGAATGCAATTTTAATGCGTAATTTTAAAAATAACTTCATCAGAATACTTTAATAGCCCTAATACACGCTCGGTAGTGGGTTGGATGTATTTTTACACTGGGCGCTGTAAAGGTAGATATGCCACTGCTAAAGCACACAGCCGGCTTTCCGCACGAGCCGCCACTGGTTCTGTGAATGAGTTTAAACACGGAATATTCGTAATCGATAATTGACTACCCCTGGCATTTCACTAATGAAAATAATGGAAAACCTCCGACTTAGCGATGCGATTCGAAGACGAACTGTCGCCTTCCCGCGCAACGCGCGAAGCGAATAGCGTCACGGTTGCACGTGCGAGGTTTTCCTAACGAGGGGACGTCCATCCCCTTCCACCCAGAGTCGTTTCTTCCTCCGCGGCGACCGCAGGGCAGTGGGGCTGAGGGAGGGGCGGGGGCGAGGATGTCTTTGGCGCGCGAGACCGCAGCCCCAGCAGTGTTGGGTGGCGCTGCCAGCGGCGGAGGAAGGCAAGGGGTCCAGCCCTCTGCGCGCACGCGTCCCATCCCTGCTTTCACGGCTGCGCCAGCGGCCTTCCGCGCGTGCGCGCGAGATCCGTGGTGCTTTGACGTTCGACGGTGCCCAGTCTCCCTAGAGATGCGACATCGATGTTGCCAAACAGCGGTGTTCAAAATTAAAATGTTTGTGTCGATGTTATACTTACATTTATTTATAATGCCGCTTGACGTTTAATTAACTGTTAGGGTCTCATCCAATCGGGAGCTTAAACGTCGCAATAGTGTCGCCATAGAACGTCAAGTGCCACTACAAATAAATCGGAAGTAAATAATACAACGACCAAAAACCAATGAGGTTTTTAAACTTATGTTTCGAAGTTGGTTTAGTAACCTCTAATATTAAAATCGTACGCAACAAAATTTAATTTGATTAAAATTTAAGTGAAAAAAGTTAATAAGTAATAAAAACCGAAGATAATAAGCCTGAACGCCCAAGGCCATTAGAGGATCAGCCTTTAGTTCGCCGAGAGCGGGTGCGGGAAGAGGGGGGAGCCTCTACGCTCACGGCTGATGCGTTGGCCGACACACGGGAGAAACGCGAAGAAAGACCGAGGAAATAGTTTGCTCAGTGGAGGTAGTTCGAACAACGTTCCTTTCATTCGAAACCATATACTGTGTTATTTCATATTT